AATAATAATACAATAATGAAATAACTAATACTAAATAATAATAATAATAATAAAATAATAATAACTAATAATAATAAAATAATAATAAATCATTCTATAATAATATGCTTTTTCTTTTTCTTTTTTTCTCTAATCTTTTTAAAATCTTTAATCTTCTGAAGTCTTTTGAAGCTAAATAGTTTGAAGCTAAGATTTGTAAATACCCAGACTCAAAATAATGCTATAAACAAAAAACTAGCAGCAAACTCTCTTTTACAAAGAAATATTATAGCATTTTTTAGTGTAAGTTCTTGACTTTTATATATAGTAATAATTCAGACAAGTCAAATAGAGATCTGTTGTTGTGATAGAGGTATTTCAGATTTAACTTCTCAAGTATAACGAATTAATATAATTAGGACAACTTTTGCATCATCTAAGCTAGTAATTGTAGGGTTTTTATAGTTTTTGAACTTAATAAGCACTGTTATAAGAAGAGAAGATAGCTTTTAATTATCAAATAAAATGTCATAAATAGCTTCTACTGAACTATTACTGTCCAAATATTTGCTGTTAGCATAATTTAGGCCCCTTTGCTAGTAATAATTGTGCTTCAAAGCCATATGCAATATCAGAATCAGCTTTCTTATCTTTATTACTACCTGTACATATTGCATGAACTTTTGCTACTGGAATATTTAATAAACCAAGCTTTTCTATATTAATTGTATTGACCTTAGACCACTTTGGTGAGAAAAACATATTGCTTAAGAATCATTTACATTCTAATCTGGTTAATTTGTCTTCAAATTATCTAATAAGCTTTTTTCAATTATTTAATATAGATTTCCTATTGCATAGCTGTAATAAAATGTCTCTAAAGTCTTTTTGTTCTTCTGAATTTCCAGATTAATATTGAACAACATCTAACCTGTACATCTTTTTAAACAATGTATATGCTGTGTAGCTGTTATTAGATAGTAAATCTTGCAGAATACTAGTGTACAGAGAAAAATCAAGTATGAGTAAAAGTTAATCAAAATTACCAAATATAATAATTAATCTAGCTTCAAAAGATATATTATTATATTTCAAAAAGGCTTAATATAATCTTAGATCAACTATAGCAAATGTTTGATGCTCAATCATACTTTTTTTATCAATTATAAAGTAGTTTATATCTTTCAATTTCTCTTATAGATTTTTTAGTCACTTTTCTTCCAGATCAAGATAACTACTATTATTATTAATTATTGAAATGCTAAGTGTAAAATGGATTGTTATTCTATTAATGTTGAAGGCTGCAACTTCAGTTAGAGCAAGCATATGTATGAGTGTCTTAAATCTAGTTGCTGTCATTTTACAGAGTCTACATACAATTGTTTTAATGAGATAGGACTTTCTTGTTCTTGCTGTTTTCATTACAATAATTCTTAATAGTTCATTATCATATTCTGCAAACTTATTTTGGTAGTATAATTTTATTCACTTAAACACTATTGTTTGGTTTTGATTTAAATTTTTATAATTTACTATATTAAAATTATCACTTTCTTTTATTTGCTTATGATTGGATGCTTGTTGTACAAAGCCATCAGCATTTGCAAGATTATTATCAGAGTATTACTGTTTAGAACCATTATTCCAGTTATAATTCCAATTTATGTCATGAGATTCTAATTCAGAAGAACTATCAATAACTACATCTAGATCTATTTCTGCTAAGAACATTTAGCCAAACCAGAATTCATCCTGTTCATCATTTTCAATTTGCACTTCTTTATTTTCATCATTAATTCTCTTTTTTTTATTATTTACAGATTGTTCAAACAAATTAATTGGATCTAAATTAATTTTTTTTTGGAAATGACTATATAAAGCTGACTATGCAATAGTATTGTTTTCAGTTAACTGTTCAAGATCATAGTATTAAACATGAAAAAGAACTTTTATATGACAAAATTCCTCTTATTGAGAGCTATTAATTAAGGCTAAAGGATGTGAAAAGATATATACTATATTTTCTTGATTTATTTTCTTCATTATTTATACTAAATTTATAGATTAAATAAAGTTTAAATAATAAAAAGTTTTTAAGTTTTATAGGACAATTTTAGTATATCTCTAAAGGTGATTATGTAGTTCATTCAGTATCTTCAGGTTCATTAAAATCATCATGCTTATTGTTATCAGCACTATAGAGCAACTATAGTACTTTTTTGTTAAGATTCAAAGAAACAAAAAAGTGACTTGAGTGGTAAAGAAAAATTTTAAGCAAAAGATGACATGTTTCTTAAGCAGAAAAGTCTCTTTTTGCAATACTTCTTAGTAATAATTTTTGTATTGAAGCAAGAAATGAGTTATTAGAATTGTTATTATTAAGAATATGACTTAATATTTTAGAATATGCTATTAATTGAGGTTTAGCTTTGTTTGCATACTTTAAAATATATTGCAAAGCTATGTGGATATTAAGAACAGGCTTTAAGTTAATATTTGCATGCCAACCTTGTAATTGAAAGTGATTGTGCAGATTAATTAGTAGGTTATTTCTTGCAATTACAAGTTCTATATGTCTATGTCTATCATCATGCACAATAGTATGTTCAGTGTTCTCCTTAGGATATCCAAATCTGCAAAATTGCTTATCAACTTAGTTAACATAAAGACAATACAATAGACTACATCTTGTGTGCTATTGCAATTTATTGACCAGCTCAATATAATCTTGTAAATCATTATTTATTTTTTCATTACATTTTTGACATAGGTAATGATTAGGAATAGGTGCATTGAGTTCTGGATTAATAGTAGTGATTATAGAATTGAAATATTGAACTACTTTACTTATTGTATTTTTATTTTCTTTCATTTGCATTCATTTTATTTTAGGTATATTTCTTTTTTTTCTGATTACATGCATGTGAATGCTACCTTAATGCTGTTATTCAAATCTGTACTACCAATCTTTCAAATTCCATTGCAGTTTTAGCACATTGTTAAAGAAAATTTCAAACTGTTTACAGAAAAACTAGGCAGTAATATGTAGGTTATTAATAATATTTTAAAGTTAATTATTTGCTGCTTTATTTTCATTATTAGCTGGCATAAGATTGTAAAGCTCTGGCCAATGCAAATCAGCAGCACTGAATGTGAAGAATACTAATTCATATGAGCCTATATACTTAATTATATCTGATAGTTTACAACATCTTGCTTTTCAAAATTAATGTGACCTATGCAAACTCTTACCAAACTGCATAATATGATTAGCAAGATACTTATTACCCTGAGTGATCTATTTCTAAATATCTATGACTGTAAGCTAAGCATCACATAAATTTTGTCTAATATAAATTTTTCTATCTTGTAGTGCTTGTCACCTCATTAATGAATTTAGTGCAAAGTACCTTTAGCAAATATAATGTGCAAATTTTCCATTCTTATATTGGATTAAATGCTTGAAATACTTAACTAGTTTGATCTTTCTAGCTTTTTCTAAGTAAAAGTCTGCAATTTCTGTTAGGTACAAAGTTGAAAATACATATGTAAAATACTTTTAAGTTTGAAATTCATTAATAAAGTTATTTCCAATATGTGGTCACATTATTGTATTATTTTTATTTTGCATATGATTCAGGATATTACTAATGGCTACTTTTTTTCACTAGACTAAAAAAAGAAAAGAAATAAAAATACATGTGATCACTTCATCTTCATTGTCTTTATCTAAATTTTCAGATATTGTTTGAAGCTGATTATCAATAGAGTTATTGATAGACAAAGTTTGAAGAGCTTCATTATCAATAATAATATCAGCATAGTAATAGTTGTTCACCTTCAGCCAGCTTAATGCATGAGCAACTTTAGCATGTTATACAGTAAAATTTCTAAACAATGCTGAATTTTTAGATTAACAATATACAATTAATACATTTAATGAAGATGGGTACTAAGAAAGATTAACAGTGAATTCTTATACATCTTGAGAGAAATTTATAACTTGGCTACTGTATCCAAGTTGTCTTTTACAAAATCAATAAACTAACATAACTGGAAAAACTTGTGCTATTAATATTTTTCTATTTTTGTCAAACCTTTTAGCTTTTTAGATACTTCATCTGGATTCATATTATTTTTTGCTAAGAATTTTTTTTGATAGACTTTTTTCAGTATAACATCAGCAACATTTTCTCTTAACTAGCACTATTAATAAAAAACACTTATTACATGTTGAGCAAAGTGTATGCTTAATCATATCTATTTTAGAATGAAATTTTTTTATAAGAACTTGATCCAATTTAGTAAACATAGCTGAGACAATTGTTTTAACATTTGTTTCTTGACTGTTTTCACTATTTTGATGTTGACTTCAACTTTCTTAAAAGTTAGTATCCTGATTATAGTGCACTTCAATTATCTTTAATAAATTTATTCAATTACTCTGTTTCTGGTTATAATTTTGATCTTCAGATTGTTCATTTGCTTTCAAAGTTTTTTTTTTCTGCTTTTGCTTAAGATCACATGCAAGGTGTATCTTATATTCTTTTGTAGTCACCTATGCTCTTTTTTGTTTTTATTTTTCAAACAGTTTACAAGGCATAATTCCTGTTGTTTAGATGTTTCATTTTCTTTTTTTTTGCACATTCAAAGAACATCATAAGAAATATTTTAATTTTCTATTTTTTATATTTTGTAGTCTATTTTAAGAATTTTCATTTTGTGCATTATATATATAGGTTATCTAAAGCAGAGTAGAATTATATAATATATGATTAGTCATATTATATATAAAATTTTGATAATTTGCTAATGAAGTAAATCAAGAAATATGAAAACTTGAAAAATACAAAAAATAGCAGTCTAAATCTATCTTGGATAAGTTAAGTAAAAATGTTAGAAAGAAAATTTTACTTATATATAACTATCTAACATTTATTTTAACTTTAATCTAACTCTAAAGTCAATTCAATAAATATATATTATAAGAATATACTCTACTTTAGACATTTCTATATATATATCTGCTCTTGTGTAATGATCAAAGTTACATAAGCATTGCTGTATTTTATATTTTGGCCTTATTAATGTAGTTACTAAAATTATTTAAATTTATTTTTAATGATAAGTTTATTTAATTATTTGTAATAATGGTTTAATGTTATAGTGATTACTTTTTTTCTGTAAGTAATTGTCATAGTTCAAAATTTAATCAAATATTTTCTAAATTTAGGTTTGCTTTTAAAACTTTTATTAATAAAATCATACAAAATTAATTTTTTGTTTTTTATAACAATATTTTTTAAAATTTCTATTTGGTTTATTAAAATTTGTTCTGACTTGATTATGAAAAACAATAAGTTTATTTTGTATTTTCTTATCTTTATTTAACCTAATATTATTTGTTTTATTAGCTATTAGTATAAATTTTAATTTATTTATTTATTTGTTAATTATTACTGTTGTATCTCTTGATATAAATATGTATTAGCATCTTATATAAATATTTTGTGTCTGTATGCTTTACTGATAATTTTTTTGCATACAAACTAAGTATATCTACTATTTGTATAGTAGGCAATTTATAATTAAAAGTTTTGTTGAATTATATATATACTTACTGCAAATGCCTTATATGTTATATTTAAGGAGAATTTACAAATAAGAGTCCAGAAAGTGAAAATAATTACAAATATGAACTCAAATTAAAAATAATTACATTTAAGGGTTTAATTTTTAAAAAATATTACATAGAGGGGCCTAAGTCTATTGATGAATAAAAAACATGATTTTGAAACTACTATGCTACAAAGTACTATGATTATTTAATTTATAACAATAGCAAAATTGCTATTATAGGATTATTGATTTGTTTATTATTGTTATAGAGTAGAAGCCTTCTTATTTCCACACTACAACAATAACATAGTACAGAGAATCCCTTACGGATATATGCGGTATCCAAGAGAAAAGTATAGCTTCTGTTAAACATTGTCAAGAAACTATACCCATCTCTGAGGCAGTTCGATAATTATTACATAGTAGTT